CCTCGCACGCGTGCCGCAGCCGGTCGAGCAGCCGCACCCCTTCCACCCCGGCCCCGCGCGGCCGGGACACGCCGTTGCGGGCCCGTCCCAGTTGGGCTCCGCTGAGGTGGGTCTGTGCCATCTTGGACCCGCCGCCGTCCTCCTCGTCCTCGGCGAAGACGTCGTCGAGCTCGTCGTCGACGCGGAGGGAGGGAGCGCCGGTCACGTCGGTGATCGCAAGCACCGGGTCACCCGACTCTACCGCGGTGTAGCTCCCGTGCAGCTTCGCGAAGGCCTTCTCGAGGATGGCCGGCCACAGCTCGCAGGGGTCCGAGCTGTGCGCGACCTGCAGCGCCGACGCGATCACTGGGAAGTAGTCGTCCACGACGACGGAGCGCCAGAGGCCGTTTTTGTTGAAGCTCACGCGGTACGCCCCGACGGCGCGCTCGCGGCGGGCCTGTACGGCGCCCGACGGGTGGCGGAACATCGCGAGGATCGTCGACGGGTTCTCCGCGACCGCCGCGAGCGCGCAGCCCATCCAGCAGTTCCCCAAATCGCCGAGAATCACCCGGTTCGGGGTGATCTCCTGGCGGAAGAGCCGCACCTGATCGCGCTGCTCCGGCTGGAGATACATCGCGGGACGCGCCCAGGGGTACCGCTTCTGGGCATCCCGCCGGAAGGAATCCGCCGTCGGTGGGAAGGAAAGATCGACGAAAGGGAGGTTATGCTCCAAACACGCCGCGAGAACGACCTCGGTATCGGTTTCATCCCCTACAACCGCGCGAATCGCGTCGATCTCGGGCTGAATAACCCCCCTCCACTGCGCCTCGCTGCGCGCCGCGAGGTAATCGTCCGACAACGGCAGCGCTAGCAGTTTGCTCTTAAACCCGTTAATAAACCCTTTCACAAACATCTCCGTTTCTCCAGGGTAGACGACAACGTTCGCTTCGATCTCGCCCTCCTCGTTACGCCGAATGGTCGTGCTCTCGAGCGGGATCACCTTGCTATGTTTCCCGAAGGTGGTGCTCACATGGATCTCGCAGAAAACGCTGTCGTTGTAGAACGCCCACGTTTTTAGCTCGCGGTTGAACACGCGGTATAATAAACCAGGTTCGTTAAAGCAGTTCATGATATCGCCGCGAAAGTCGGGTTCACCGTTTCGCATCGCTGCCAAGTCATCGTCGTCGTTTTCGTAAATTATATTCATCGCGGTCGCGATATCGAACTCATCCTCTGGATCGTCATCGGGTACCTTAAGGGTGATCGGCTCCAAATGATAAAACATCGTCGTTTCGTTTTTTCGCGTTTTCATGTGAAGTCCTTTTTTGGATTTGAGCAGTTGCGGCTGCGGACCACCTGGCTCCAGTTTAGGCAGCATCTCCATCTCGTCGAGCACCGCAGAATCGGAGAAGAGACTGTCATTGCTGATCTCTAACACCTCGGTCGGGGGTGCAGACATGCCGATTCTACTCCGTTAGCAATAAATAAATAAATAAAATATGAACTCCCAATAGCAGCAACTAAAGGATTGAAAAAAGATGCACACCAAAGTGTATAACCTAAAAAAAAGAACAAATCTGAAAAGGTTCTACAGACACACACACATAAAAAAAAAAAGAATGGATACCACGCAGGAAAGTAATGATTTACTAAAAAAAATAAAAACGAACTAAGTATATCGATGTATATAAAAATTAGAAATGTAAATGAAGTCCCAATACAACCTTGAAGTAAAGGAGACTTACAAGTATATATGATAATGAATGGTATGCTCCAAGTAAGCCTAAGCATTAAGAGGATGTGGGAAAAAAAGGAAAATACCATAGCTAATTAATATTTATGTACATATAGCTGTTAATCCCACCCCTGAACATATGCAATGAATATCTTTGATTTCAGTGTTTAGTTGTCATTGTGTTAGTTCCTTCAGCGGTTCCATACGCATTCGCCGATACCTCTCTCTACACATGCACTGGAAATCATGGAAAAGCAGATATCCATCCATTAGACCTATCCTTATACAAATACCCACCCACCCATATATATATATATATAAATACATTGTGCACGAAATGAGTTTTCTTCACGATCTTCATCTTTGCCACATCTGCATACACATACACCACTCAGTTTGTGCTGCCAGTGGTGGGGTGGGGAAGGCCTTGAACCCCACCCCTTTCTCCTCATCTCTCCCCCCTTTTGTGGGAAACCAAAAAGCCTTATCCTTTATTATTCTGCACCAAGGTTATCATCATCATCTTCTTCTTCCCTCTTATGAGAAACCTTCCTTCCGATCTTTGTAAAAAGTCCTTCGTTTTATTTTTCTTCCGTGAGGAAGAACGTCGCATTGTCTCTCACGAGTCATGCCTCAGCCATTACTCTAGAGATGCGAAATGGAGTAGCCGGTGTAGTTTAGTGGAGTGATTGCCTTCAGCTCCCGCCGCACCTCCTCGCGGATTCCCGGCAGGCTGTCGATAAACTCGTGGATAATACGCTCGTCCAAATCCTCCCTCCCGCGGGTGAACTCCTTCAGCGCCTCGTATGGGTTCGGAAAGCCCTCGCGGCGGAGGATGGTTTGGATCCCCTCGGCCACAACCGCCCAATTGTTTTTGAGATCCCTCTCGAGCGCTTGGGGGTTCACGCGGAGCTTTTTGATCCCGCGTTCGATCGAGTTGAAGGCCACCAACGCGTGGCCGAAGGGCACGCCGAGGTTGCGCAGCACCGTGCTATCCGAGAGATCGCGTTGCAGCCGTGAGATGGGCAACTTGCTCGCGATGAAGTGAAACAGCGCGTTGCTCAACCCCAGGTTGCCCTCCGCGTTTTCGAAGTCGATCGGGTTGACTTTATGCGGCATCGCGCTGCTCCCTATCTCCCCAGGTTTTACCTCCTGCGTGAAGTAGCCGAGTGAGATATACCACCACGTATCCGCGCAGAGGTCCATCAGGATTCGCTGCACTCGCGCGCAGGCATCACAGACGGCCGCGATGTGATCGTAATGCTCCACCTGCGTCGTGTAGCGCTGCCGGGTGAGGCCGAGGTAGTTTCGCAAAAACCCATTCGCGAAACCCACCCAATCCACCCCGGGGAAGGCCACCCGATGCGCGTTGAGGTTTCCCGAGGCGCCACCGAACTTCCCACTCGCGGCGATCCCCCGGAGCTGCGCCTGTTGCCCTTCCACCCGTTCGATCCAGACGGCGAACTCCTTCGCGAGGTTCGTCGGCGTCGCCGGCTGCCCGTGGGTGCGCGCGAGCATCGCGTGATTCCACCCCGTCAGGCGATCGCGTAGCGCCCGCAGGACCCTCTGAAGGCCTGGGAGATACACCCGTTCAAGGGCATCCCGCAGGAGCATCGGAATCGCGGTGTTGTTCACGTCCTGCGAGGTGAGCCCGAAGTGGATGAACTCCGCCCGCGCGGCGAGCCCCGCCACGCCTCGGGCGCGTTCCTTTACGAAGTACTCCACCGCCTTGAGGTCGTGGCGGGTGATCTGCTCGATCGCACGAATTCGCCGCGCGTCGGACGCGGAAAAGTTTTCAAAAGTCGCCGCGCGAAGGGCGGCGAGTTGGGCGTCGGTGGTTCCTTGCAACGCCGTGATTTCCGGCACCTCCCGGCAGAGCGCGATGAAGTACAACACCTCCACCTGCACCCGGTAACGGAAGAGCGCGCGCTCGGAGAAGAAATCGCGGAGGGGGAGGGTGGCGGCTTTGTAGCGGCCGTCAAGAGGGGAGAGCGCGTGGAGGGGGGTGTCGGTGGCGAACCCCTCGGCGTCGGTCGTCGTCATGGGTTGCATCCTTCGTGAAGTGTAGGGAATGGCGATCTGAGGGAGAGAAAGAAACGCGAATGAGGGTGGAATATGACCAAGAGAAGATGGGAGGATGGGAGTTACTCAGATTTGATAATATTCAACATATATATATATATATATATATTCAGGCTTCTCATCGTTTTCATCCTTTTCCTTAACCGGTTATCTAAATATGATTCTTATTTTGCCCACACGGATCATAAAGAAGGGAATTGCTCCCGCATGAATGGGTTTAACACCTTCACACCAGAAGAAAAGGCAGCCTCAAGATCCCATCACGAAAGACTTCATTTGATTAAGCGGATGCTTCATCAGAGAGCCTCATCACACACGTGGATGAATCGGTGCACTACGCTTTAATATCTCAACACCTCCCCACAAAGTCTAGGTCTCGTCCTCGTTTAACTATAACATGAATAGGGAATGCTTTTAACATTATTTTTTAAATGCATGATAACCATTTTGCTTTGTTAAAAGTTCGTCTGCATTGGCGTGTGTGCATGCAGTGGAAGTTGTTGGTCAAAACTCTGCGCCGAATTCAAGATTTTTACCGAAGCAGTGGCCTTTTTTCCTTTTCTTCTATAAGGTACCCCCTTCATTGCTCATCCATCATCTCGAAAGTGCATATATCTGCATTTGTATGCCTAGGAATCATCCCTTTTATCCACAGTGCAGACCAATTTCTTGTACTGTATTTTTAAGTTTTTAAAAAGGAGTGAGAAGGAGAAAGTTACGCTTTTTGAGCAACATCCATTAAGCTCTCCCAGCAATAAAATGAGTCCATAAATCACGACCGAGAAGCGGAATCTCCTCTAGCCTAATCCAGACAAAGGGGGACCATTTTTAGTTTAAAGATGAAAGTCAATAATAACAAAAAAAGATTTGTTGAGTATCCTACAGTTGAAGAGGGGAAGTCCAGGGAAGAAAGGAGTTCCAAATGCAAGAAAAAGAAAACCGCATGATTCCCAATCGAGCAACGTCGATAAGAGCTCATCCGTTTTTTTTTCTTCATGAGTGTTCGCTTCCTTTCGTTCTGCGCGAAGAGGAAGGGTAGTGGGCAGGCCGACTGCTCCCGGCTGCTTAGCTCGCACGGGAACCTATCAGGCGACCTCCCGCTAAGCCATTATCCCCCTCCTTTATTTTTTCCTCCCTCCAATCTTCCCTCGCGCTCCCCCTCTGCACAACCCCAACGCGCCATCCTTTCTTGGGGGCCTTTATCGTCGTCGGCGGTGGGAGACCTTCTTCACCTTCTTCCCCTTGAGGATGATACCGTCATGGACCTTTTCGAACCACTTCATCGCGTCCTCCTTCGTGAGGCGGTGGCTGTGGCCGACGCGGCTGCAGCAGCGCTTGCGGTGCGCCACCCGCTCCCCACGACGGCCGAGCACGACGTAGAAGTCCATGCCGTAAATCCCGGTCGAGGGGTCGTACTTAATCCCAAGGTCGATGTGCTCGCTGATGCCAAACCCAAAGGAGCCGGTGTCGGAGAAGTTGTAGTTCATCAGCTCGAACTCCTTCACCTTGAGGCCTTTTTCGAGCAGCTCCTCCGCCTTCTTCCCGCGGACGGTGCAGTGCACCGCGATCTTTTCGTTTCGACGGATGCCGAAGGTGCGGACGGTCAGGCGTGCGCGGGAGAGCACGGGGACCTGCTCGCAGAGCTGCTCCAACACCTTCGCCGCACGCGTCAGGCGATCACCGCTCTCACCGACGCAGATGTTGATGCAGAGCTTGCGCACCATGATCTCGCGCATCGGGTTCGATGCTTTGCTCTCGGCGACCATCCTTTCGATGCGTGATGGGAAAAAAGGGGGTTAGGATGAGGTTAATACTCTTTGATACACGCAATGGCAATATTTATGGGGGAAAATACAAACGAATTCGTTACGGGAATCGGGGTCGATTCGAATCCAGATGATTGGGGTATGGGTATCCCAACCAAAAAAAAAGGGGGTTAAAAAGGTCAGGAAACACCAAAGAGGGAGAGAGGAAAGACGTTGCTTGAGGTTTCGCATTCAAAAAAGAGGGGGAAGGGGATTCCCTCCGGCCCCCCCCCCCCTCCACACGATAAAAAGAGCCGTGCTGTCTGAAGCTCAGAAAGCAGAAGAGAAAATGCCCACACGCAAAGGTGTGACAGCTTTTTTTTTTTTTAATATTTAATTAAACCGTTTATATTCAAATCCTGCATGTTATATTAGTTCGAGTGCAGCATTTTCCTTCCCTTTTCTTAATTAGGTCTAACGACTTAGTTCACGCGACGATGTCGACTCCCGCGGTTCGTCTTCCTATAGCACGACCGTCTTCCCGCCCTTGCGGGGGGGTTTCGCTAGCTTCTTTGCGGCCTTGCTACCGCTGCTCACGATACGACGCGTCTCCACGCTTTTGTTCGAGCTGATCTTCTTCACCTTGCTCGATCCCCCGGTGGCGACGACGGCGCCTTTTCGTTTTTGTGGCGCCTCCATGCTCTTAATCCGCGCCGCCGTCCGCCCCTCTTCCGCTTCAACCCGCGCGAGATCCTCCGCCACGGCGAGCTCGCCATCCGCCGTCGTGCCTTTCGTTCCCTTCTTTTCTTTTCCCTTTTGTTTTTTCGAATCCGCCTTCCGCCAGGTGGGCTTTTCAAACTCAAACACGTACTCCTCCGGGGCATCAGATGCGCTGTCGAGCTCCGCCTCCTCGTTTTCTTCGCGCGCATCGGGGATGCCTTCAGAAGGCCCCCCCTTCTTTTGTGCGGCGTCGTCGTTTTGCCGTTTCGCGAGCATCCGTTCGACATCCGCCTTCGTCAAGGCGTGACCCCCGATCGGGGCGTCCGCGTCGATCACCTCAAAATTCACCGCCTGCGGATGCGGCCCGTTCGGGTTCGATTTCCCGTAAAAACACGTCCGCGGCGGAGGCAGCCTGAGGGGTTTGGAGAAGTCTTCCTTTCCGGCGTTCGGATCCATTCGGTAGTTCGTGTTGAGGTGCGCGCTCGTGTTCGGCACCCGGGGGTCGAGCTCGGGGTTGAGAAAGTGAAATCGCGTTTCGGGATCCTGCGGGGGGATCGCGCTGATCCCACCTTTGGCGGTTAAAACCAGCTTGTGGTGGAGCTTGCGAAGGCGCTCCGCAGTGTGCTCCCGCTCGGCCTCGGCGCGCTGCCGGCGGTGGAGTTTCTTCCATTTTGAGCGAGTGGACTTCGCCATGGGACCTCTCGCGTGCTAGTTTGTCTAAGTAACTCACACGAAATGTGAGAGTGGTATTTCTACACCGCTTTTCTTTTTGTGCGTGCGTGTATGTGTGGAGGGGAGGGGGAAGGGAAGAGAAAAGTTCTGAAAAAAGTTTCCTTCTAGTGTTCCCCTCCCGGGATCGTACCGAAGAAAAAAAAAACGAAAAGAAAAAAGCGGGGAGCCCCAACCTTTGAAGGGGTACACGAGAAAATGAAACAAAGCAACGACAACAAGAGGGAAAACAAAGTACTGTTGCTCTACTAATAGCGCAAATGAAAGGCACATTAGGGTTTCCCAAGAATATTTCCCATCGCATCAGAGCGAATGCGTGCAAGGTTAAATGAGGGAAGAAGCTATTACCTTCACGTAGCAGTGGGCTGGGGAAAAAAATGTAGAAAAACGCAACGTCAGCTCCACAATATTGTCAAACACTCTTTCTTTTTGTGTTACAAATGTTATCCGTCATTATTTTGGTCTGCCTTTCAATATGCCTCACCACATGCTTTGCGGTGAGCCTGCAATTAGAGGCTATTGCGCATATATTTTAAAATCCTATCAATCGATTATCACGCAAAAGCCAAAAAAGGAAAACCACGCCATAAAGGAAAGCCCGATTGAAAAAAATTCAAATCGGAAAGGAAGTTTGAATCCCTTCACGATGAGGTGGTGAATGAAGGAGATTAAAAAAAAAAAACGCCCAACGAGGCGCCTCACTCGCACAAGAAACTGAATACATCGATAATAAACGCCATTCATACCTAGAGAGACCACTTTCTCCTTTGCTTGATTCATGCAGAATCTATCCTGCGCGTTGTCCACTAATAGTGTAGAGGCACACACACATGAGGAATGACCTGCATTTTACTTTCCTTCATCTGCACGCCTTAGTTTTTACATGAACTCATGGAGACCGCTCACTGGAGGCTGCCCAACGTTCGTTTTTTGAAAAAGATCTAACTCTTCGCTTACTTAGTTTTAATTGCAGGAATGCATCTCTCCCTTGGTCGCTTCAACATGTTTTAACACAAATTCTCCTCTTTCCTTCCTCTCTCCATTCAACAGTAAACTCTCTCACACTCCTGGTAGACGTTGCCAGCAAGTTTTGTCATGGGAGGGTTCTCCAAAGAGCAAGAACAAGAAGGGGAAGGGAAGAAGACGCTACCTGAAACCTCACTATTGCTATTCTTAGTATTATTAATATTCTCCCTCCCCCTTACTATACAAGGGCGATTCCACGACCGGAGAGGAGGGATCCTGCGCGGGCTGCCATTCCGCCGCGGGCGATTTCCCCGTCATCATCATCATCATCATTATCCCACTTCCATTCCCACCCCCGCTATTATTATGATGGCTATTATTAGAATTATGATTATTAGCGTTATTAAGATTAGTTTTATTGTGGTGAGGGTGGTAATGAGAGTAAGGGAGATACGACGTCGTCATGCGTAGCGGGGCGTGAGGGTTTGGATACGGCGCCCGCGCGACGCCATGACTAGCGCGGTAGTGATGCCGAAATTGCGGCAAACGCGATGGGGAGAGGGCGGTCGTAGAAGGGCTCATCGTGGCCATTTCGATCGGATCCCGAAGGTTGGGATTGGCATCCGCTTCATTTTCCTCCTCGGGTGCTTTTCGCGGCTCCGTCGGGAGCCCGGGTGACGGGGACGGCGGCGATCCCTCCCCAAGGGGTGGGATCTCGAGATCCCGCTCGTTGCCTGGCGTGGGAGGGGCGTGGGCGGGGCTCGTGGAGGCGCCGGAGGAGTCGTGGTGGACGAAATGCCCCCCCCCTCCCCCCCCCCTGCCGCCGCTTTCGTC